GGGGGCCCACTGACTGCCCTAAGAGAGGGGCCCGCTCCAGTCATGCTTCAGTGATTCCCTATATAATCAAGCAAATTTAAATTTTTCCCACAAAAGGGGGGCCGCAATTTTTAATAAACTCCATGTTTATTCTGTATTTTAATGTTCTGTTCTGCGCACAACACTTTCTATTACAAAGAAGATAGTACATTTTCAATAGAATGTACTGTGCGGCGCACAACACTATCTATACAAAATACATTGTATAGAAAGTGTTATGCACTGCTCAAAAAAATATAATACAGAATAACCATGGAATTTATTAAAAATTTCAAGCACAAGAAATTATGCATTTCCATAATTAAAAATAATTCCAAGTTGAAATAATAGCCTGTTATAACTAATAGAATTTTTATTATCTAATTCAATTAAGACATAATAAACAACACAGGAGGAAAACAAAAAGCTCCCTCCAAATAATGATAAAAAAAATGTTTACTGAAATAACACAAACGCCTGTTTCAGGCAGTCATTAGTTTTTATACGACCGTTTACGGGACGTATTATGGTATACTTTTGACCGTCTGTCCGTCCGTCTGTCCATCGTCAACATGTCGGACATTAACTCAAAAATGCTTTAACCAATATGCATGAAACTTTGGTGAACTGTTTATATCTATTGACGTGAGTTCCCTTTCGTTTTTTATTAATTTTGGATTTACTGTTTCTGAGTTTTGGGGTTTTATTCATTAAAAATGGGGGGATTTTCCAGTTTGTGGACAATAACTCAAAAAAAATTTCACCAATTTGCAAGAAACTTTGGTGAATTGTTTATTTCTATCGGCATGAGCTCCCTTTGAAATTTTAGAAATTTTAGACCATATGTTTCCGATTTATGGTGTTTTATTAAAGATTTCTTGTACAAAAGTTAAAGCAAAAGAACAGCATAGTATAAAATAGTTTCATTTTGTTCCTTATTGTACCAAGAGTTCAAGTGTCATTTCCCGTACCTATTAAATAAGTATTGCGCCTGAAATTATGCACATAGTAAATAACACATTCTTTCTTTATCATCCTTTACAAATTTTCAAAGTATGCTAATTAAGTCCTAGGTTTGTTTACATTTGTATGCTGGTCACATTATAGGTCGCGATATTCCTTTATAGGGAAGGTAATATCTTACCTTTATGTTTGAAGAAATATTCATTTAATATGGTTAATGATCAGTTTATTACCTATTAAATCACAGTTAAGTCCTTTGTCTCTAGTGTGACTCCACTTTGATCTTAGTGAAAACCGCACAGGTAAAATAAAAACCTTATTGATAGATTGTTATAGTACTGTAGGGAAGTTCAAACATGAGACACTGTTAGTACCATAGCATAAGAAGTTATTTAACTGTTTGATAATTACTACATAAATTTCATAGGAATCTGGTTTTTTTTCTGAACATCATTTTGAAATCTTTTAAAAAAAATAATCCTGAATTATCAATTGTCTATTTTACTAGCAAATTATTGATGAGTTTCTTTAACAAATGCAATAATCAGAAATATAGTAGTAAAGGAGATATTTAAACATACATCATAAGGGGAAAAAATTATAAAATATCTTTCTTTTGGAAATTTTTATCAATTTGTTTAAAATATCATAGAGTACAATTGTTTGCTTTATACATGTATATATACTATTTATGAAATTATTCAGTAATTTCTCTCTCTTACTTTTAGAGATTATTAGTACATTGTGACAAATTTTCTCTGTTAGAGATTATTAGTACATAATGTGACAAGAAGTGTAGGTGTTGATATTAAAAACAAATTAAAATCAAATAAATTAAAAAAAAAAAACTGAAGAATTTCTGACTCATAATAATGACATATCACAAATCTTGTAGAAAGACAGGGCTTTGTATTCTTCATTTACAATAAATTGTTAAACCATATTTGTGGTCAATGACTTCCATTAAATTGTCAGATGAAATTAATGATGAAGGTTAACGTTTAATTGAAAAGTTTTTGTATTAGTTAGTCTTAAGATTCCTGATGGTCAGTGATATTTATATATAACTGCTGAAATCATCAATGTTTACACAGGCTGATGGAACCAATTACCATTGTCAATTTAACTAAGGACTCTTCAAATAAAAAGATTACTACACAGGTTCAGATATCATATAGAGCACAAACTTTATGCCACTGTATGTTAAAGAGCCATCCATTTATCAAATTAGTATGGTAGTACAATGTTCTTTACTTTGGATTTTAAATTTATCCTTTAAAACCTTGTATGTTGTACTTTGAAGAACATATAGCTTTAGATTGTCACCGTTAACTATTTGATTCATAACATGGTTTGTAAGAGATTTGTCAAAAAATAAAAACAATAAGCCATGTTAGATGCATGATAATAAATCATAATTGTTCTTTGTAAAAAAACAACATCTTATAAATTCTACACTGTTAGGTGTTAAACTTGACCGACAATGTGGTTAGATGTATACAATGTTATATCTTTAACAACACTTTTTCATCATGATTATGTAAATATGATATAGTAAAATCTTTTGAAGTCATAATTTTTGAAGGTTAAGAAAAAGAATGATAAATTAGGTAACAGGAGATGTCTTTTTTTTTGGTTATATTTCAACTTCTTGTTTAATTTAACAAGTTTTGAAAATGAAAACATAACAAATTGAAAAATTTGCTGTGTAATTGTTAAAGACCTTAAAATATAATGTACCTTTATATTTTATTGATAGTAAATGTTTAAGAAAGATAGTATTGATAGTAAAATAGGTGGGTTTAACAGATATACTACTAGGTAAGTAATCAACTGAGGGTATTTAGGTAGATACTTCTAGAGGGAAATGTTATGTCATCTGTGGGACAGTGACAATAAAAGATCACCAAACAGTCATCTTGAATATCAATATCACCTTCAACTTTTAACCTGTCTGTCCTGTTTACAATTTGTTTGACTTGTTTTACGGGGAGATACTCAAATTTCAGTCCAGGATTCCACAACAACCTTTGAGTTATTTACCCAGGTTAGCTTTTTGCTAATTCGGACAATACAATTATATGAAACACTTGGTTAAGAATAGACTACAGAGAGTTGAATTTGATACCAGGCTGCTGTTCCTGTTCCATTACCTTCATTAAATTCTCTCGATGATTTAATGCAGTAATTTTGTGATACATTTATGTATTATTAAACCCATAATTTATTCATACTTTTGAAGAAAAACATATTTATTAAAGATAGATCATTTTTGGTCGACATTTATAACAATCTGGTTTGAGATGTAAATTGTGTTCTTTTAGTGGATATGAGATATTTGGTTAAACAAACCATCTTTGATCAAGCAGTGTATCACATTGTAACTTAAGTGGAGTAATTGAGATTTTGTTCTGTAAAGCTGTTACATGTTTTATTGGGATGGTTGTTTAATAACTCGGATATTGGAATAAGTTTTTAAATATAGAATATAAGAAAGACCTTAAATTGAGGGTTAATGTAACAGACTATGTGAATTAAGGATACATGATAAGGGCCAGTGTAGAATCAAAGGATTCATTTTGTGGATTCATAAGTTCATTTAGTTATAAGAGCATTTTCACCAGGATAAGCTAATGAAATCATTTTTATACCCCCGCTTTAAAGAAGGGAGGGGTATACTGTTTTACCTCTGTCTGTCCATCCGTCAGTCCGTCCGTACGTCAGTATGTCCCAAAATTGGTTTCCGTTCTCTAACTTTAGTTTGCCTCAACCAAATGCTATGAAACTTATACACAATGCTTATTACCACAAAACACAGATCAAGGATGAATTTTGGTGACGTCACTTTTACCGTTTAAGAGTTATGCCCCTTTACAAATGGAAAAATTCCTGAAATTTTGGTTTCTGTTCTCTAACTTATCTTTGCATCAACCAAATGTTGTTAAACTTATAAACAATGCTTATTACCACAAAACTCAGATCAAGTATGAATTTGGGTAGCATCACTTGTATCTTTCTTGAATTATGTCCCTTTATAACGTTTTATGCAAGCGGAAGCATCATCTGTGTCCCATGGACACATTCCTTATTTATTTTGACAACAAATGAAATGTTAAGTTTGCCATACAAGCTATCTGCCTTTGAAGGATGTAAGGAATTTGAATGATAAAACTGAGGGACCCTAAATAGCAGGAGCTCAAGAGCTTAGCTGTATTGTAAAATCGTTAGCACTTCATACAAACACTCTACCTGATGGAATATTTGGAATGATTGAGTTGGTAGATATAGATAGAACTTTAATCTCTTTGTACCATGTTGATCCACATGTATATGTCTATATGTAATCCTTAATTTGTTGACTCAAGTCCTGCTGTGTTAGAATTCATCCTCTTTACTTAATGTACTGGTATCTATTAGACATTAAATCCATGTTTAAGTCCATAATTTCCATATAGTCTGTGTGGAGATATCTATGTAAGCTATATACTTCATTTCTGAAGAAGAAGCAATCTATAAGTTAACCAAGGAACTGAGTTTCCTGCTTGAATATAATTATATTGAGGAACGGTAGCTTGCATGTAAATGGATTTTAGAGTGATTTAATCTTGTTTTCTTAGCTCCTTAGATTAAATTCAGTTAAGCCATAGGCATACAATTTTAAATGAAATTGAAATGACTTGATTTAAGTAGGATTAGCTAGTTTACTACAGAAAGGATTTAAGTTCCATGAATAAAGTCTTAAAATAAATCTACAGGATTTGTCATAGTCCCAATCTTAAAATAATCATGGAAAATGCAGCTTAGTTTGAAAAAATAAAAATTTGTAAAAGATTGTGTAGAATATGATTTTAGAATATATTTCTCATCAGTTGAAAGCAATCTCTGAAACAGTTGTAGATAATTATTGGATCAGGGATTATCAAACTATATATAATTATATAATTATATACATGATATATGTATATGTCTCAAAACAAAACAAATACTGATGTATTTGAATGTAAATAGTTCAGGTTTTTACAAAAATTCCCAATTTGATGTGTCTGAAACAAGTCCTCATTTACTTGGAGAAAAAATAAATGTTTTTGTTCTTATAAAAACTTTAAATTAGATAAATAGATACATAAAATAAGGGTGAAATCTAAGGTCATTAAAATATAAGAAAATGGTGAAATCTAAGGTCATTAAAACATAAAATAAGGGTGAAATCTAAGGTCATTAAAACATAAGATAAGGGTGAAATCTCAGGTCATTAAAACATAAGATAAGGGTGAAATCTCAGGTCATTAAACATAAAATAAGGGTGAAATCTCAGGTCATTAAAACATAAAATAAGGGTGAAATCTAAGGTCATTAAAACATAAAATAAGGGTGAAATCTAAGGTCATTAAAACATAAAATAAGGGTGAAATCTCAGGTCATTAAACATAAAATAAGGGTGAAATCTCAGGTCATTAAAACATAAAATAAGGGCGAAATCTCAGGTCATTAAAACATAAAATAAGGGTGAAATCTCAGGTCATTAAAACATAAAATAAGGGTGAAATCTAAGGCCATTAAAACATAAAATAAGGGTGAAATCTAAGGTCATTTAAACATAAAATAGGGGTGAAATCTAAGGCCATTAAAACATAAAATAAGGGTGAAATCGCAGGTCATTAAAACATAAAATAAGGGTGAAATCTAAGGCCATTAAAACACAAAATAAGGGTGGAATCTAAGGGCATTAAAACATAAAATAAGGGTGAAATCTAAGGTCATTAAAACATAAAATAAGGGTGAAATCTAAGGTCATTAAAACATTAAATAAGGGTGAAATCTCAGGTCATTAAAACATTAAATAAGGGTGAAATCTCAGGTCATTAAAACATAAAATAAGGGTGAAATCTAAGGTCATTAAAACATAAAATAAGGGTGAAATCTAAGGTCATTAAAACATAAAATAAGGGTGAAATCTAAGGTCATTAAAACATAAAATAAGGGTGAAATCTAAGGTCATTAAAACATAAAATAAGGGTGAAATCTCAGGTCATTAAACATAAAATAAGGGTGAAATCTCAGGTCATTAAAACATAAAATAAGGGCGAAATCTCAGGTCATTAAAACATAAAATAAGGGTGAAATCTCAGGTCATTAAAACATAAAATAAGGGTGAAATCTAAGGCCATTAAAACATAAAATAAGGGTTAAATCTAAGGTCATTTAAACATAAAATAGGGGTAAAATCTAAGGCCATTAAAACATAAAATAAGGGTGAAATCTCAGGTCATTAAAATATAAAATAAGGGTGAAATCTAAGGCCATTAAAACACAAAATAAGGGTGGAATCTAAGGGCATTAAAAACATAAAATAAGGGTGAAATCTAAGGTCATTAAAACATAAAATAAGGGTGAAATCTAAGGTCATTAAAACATTAAATAAGGGTGAAATCTAAGGTCATTAAAACATAAAATAAGGGTGAAATCTCAGGTCATTAAAACATAAAATAAGGGTGAAATCTAAGGTCATTAAAACATAAAATAAGGGTGAAATCTAAGGTCCTTAAAACATAAAATAAGGGTGAAATCTCATGTCATTAAAACATAATATAAGGGTGAAATATCAGGTCATTAAAACATAAAATAAGGGTGAAATCTCAGGTCATTAAAACATAAAATAAGGGTGAAATCTAAGGTCATTTAAACATAAAATAAAGGTGAAATCTCAGGTCATTAAAACATAAAATAAGGGTGAAATCTAAGGTCATTAAAACATAAAGTAAGGGTGAAATCTCAGGTCATTAAAACATAAAATAAGGGTGAAATCTCAGGTCATTAAAACATAAAATAAGGGTGAAATCTCAGGTCATTAAAACATAAAATAAGGGTGAAATCTCAGGTCATTTAAACATTAAATAAGGGTTAACTCTTAGGTCATTAAAACATAAAATAAGGGTGAAATCTCAGGTCATTAAAACATAAAATAAGGGTGAAATCTCAGGTCATTAAAACATAAAATAAGGGTGAAATCTCAGGTCATTAAAACATAAAATAAGGGTGAAATCTCAGGTCATTTAAACATTAAATAAGGGTTAACTCTTAGGTCATTAAAACATAAAATAAGGGTGAAATCTCAGGTCATTAAAACATAAAATAAGGGTGAAATCTCAGGTCATTAAAACATAAAATAAGGGTGAAATCTCAGGTCATTAAAACATAAAATAAGGGTGAAATCTCAGGTCATTAAAACATAAAATAAGGGTGAAATCTCAGGTCATTAAAACATAAAATAAGGGTGAAATCTAAGGTCATTTAAACATAAAATAAAGGTGAAATCTCAGGTCATTAAAACATAAAATAAGGGTGAAATCTAAGGTCATTAAAACATAAAGTAAGGGTGAAATCTCAGGTCATTAAAACATAAAATAAGGGTGAAATCTCAGGTCATTAAAACATAAAATAAGGGTGAAATCTCAGGTCATTAAAACATAAAATAAGGGTGAAATCTCAGGTCATTTAAACATTAAATAAGGGTTAACTCTTAGGTCATTAAAACATAAAATAAGGGTGAAATCTCAGGTCATTAAAACATAAAATAAGGGTGAAATCTCAGGTCATTAAAACATAAAATAAGGGTGAAATCTCAGGTCATTAAAACATAAAATAAGGGTGAAATCTCAGGTCAATAAAGTGGAAAACATAAAACATAAGGACAGAAAACAATAGTCCATTTAACTTTACACAGGCAACACTATCTATAACACAAGGAACAGTTGATGTAATATCTGAATCTGTTAGAGGATAACAGAGCCTGCTCAACTAATTAGTCACCTGAAGTCTGATTTCCTTAAGCACTATAGTCAAACTTATATAACTTACAGAATTTTTTATTCAGTATGAGAAAAAACTGTTGGGTGAAATGATTCACTTAACCAGTAACTTGTATAATGAAGTTAAAGATAAAGAACAGCAATAGCTACTGGATATTCATTTATTTTTGTGGGTTGAGGAAAAATGATATTTTAATGGAATTTTTATTTCAATTATTGGATTACTTTGCTGAGAATATTTAAATTCTGATTTACATTAAACTGAAGAAATCCATGAAAATTGGTACCCCAAAAAATAATAAAGAATCATCAGCATAGCTTTGTTAGTATTATGTTTATCTATAGAAGTTAAACTGTTCATTTACGACTTTATTCTGTTTTTCAGATCCATCCAATGAGTATTTGTAGCCGAGACGTAGCAGAACAGATGGTTTATGGCTGGGTTGGTGTTATGAAGCTAGAACCTATCAGAAATCATTGTATGAGCTTATATAAACAGGTATGAACATATCTCTGTGTGAGCTTGTATTATAAGTGGAATAGGATCCCAGTTACAGGATACCAGTCCAGTACCCACGAATGAAGTCCCTTGATAAATCTACCAACTTTTAAATGGGATATTGTACTGAGATGAAAATTATGTAAAGATGCTTAAAATTGTAGTATACCTGAAGGGTATTCATTAAACTTTCAACTTCATTTAAATTTTAAGTGATTCTGAAATGTATAGGGTGGATGATTGTCTGAGTAAATGGTCCAAATTTTATTTTTGATTTTGACCAGGAAGTTAATAAAATGACCCTATTAATTCTCAAAACAGTATTGCTCTCTTAATTGCAATTCATGACCCTATAAGAATTCTCACAGAAACCAAGAAGGAGGCTACGAGTATGAGAATTTTGTAACTGAAAATTTGCAGTCTGATATAGGGAATAAAAAATCTGCCCCTCAATTTGGATAAAATTGCGTTATAGTAATGGGGGAATTAATTGGGTCCCCGTTCCAAGTCATGTATGAAATTAGAACCCATAAAAAATCATTGTATCATCTTATATTATCCAGAATGAAGTTAGTACCTATCAAAACCCTGCTGTTTAAGTTTGTAACACCAGTTTGTTATACTTTGATAGACCATTTTTTGTCTCGCCTGCGACTTTTGTTGCAAAATTTCTTCAGAGAATGTGAGACATAGGGATTACTTTCCATAGGCAGCTCAAACTATTTGTATTAAGCTTTTTATTTTAGAAGGTAGAAGACCTGGATGTTTTATACCTTGTATGCAGATGCCTTATGTTACAAAGTTTCCATCTGTCATATATCCATTCTCTTTGACCTCTGATTTTCAAGGTTCAGCGACTGCTTGAAATAAAAGTTGTGTATTGTTGTCATGGGAAATGCTCACTTACTATGAGTAAAAGGATAATTATATTTGGTATGATCCTTGCAAGTTCTACATGTCCATCAGACAAGGTTCATCTGACCTTTACCTCATTTCATGGTTCATTGATCAATGTTAAGTAATAACAAAGATATCTTGGTTTTTGTCGAGCCTGCGACTTTTGTTGCAGAAAGCTCGACATAGGGATAGTGATCCGGCGGCGGCGGCGTTAGCTAACTTCTTAAAAGCTTTATATTTTAGAAGGTGGAAGACCTGGATGCTTCATACTTTGTATATGGATGCCTCATGTTACGAAGTTTCCGTCAGTCACATGTCCAAAGTCCTTGACCTCATTTTCATGGTTCAGTGACTACTTGAAAAAAAAGTTAAGATTTTTTCTAATGTTAAATTCTCTCTTATTATAAGTAATAGGATAACTATATTTGGTATGTGCATACCTTGCGAGGTCCTCATGCCCGTCAGACAGTTTTCACTTGACCTCGACCTCATTTCATGGATCAGTGAACAAGGTTAAGTTTTGGTGGTCAAGTCCATATCTCAGATACTAGAAGCAATAGGTCTAGTATATTCGGTGTATGGAAGGACTGTAAGGTGTACATGTCCAACTGGCAGGTGTCATCTGACCTTGACCTCATTTTCATGGTTCAGTGGTTATAGTTAATTTTTTGTGTTTTGGTCTGTTTTTCTTATACTGTATGCAATAGGTATACTATATTTGGTGTATGGAATGATTGTAAGGTGTACATGTCTAGCTGGCAGGTGTCATCTGACCTTGACCTCATTTTCATAGTTCAGTGGTCAAAGTTAAGTTTTTGAGTTTTGGTCTTTTTTTCTAATACTATATGCAATAGTTCAACTATATTTGGTGTATTGAAATATTTTATGATCTATATGTCAGTCACGCAGGTTTTATTTGACCTTGACCTCATTTTTCAAGGTTCATTGCTCAGTGTTAATTTTTTGTGTTTTGGTCTGTTTTTCTTAAACTATAAGCAATAGGTCAACTATATTTGTTGTATGGAAGAATTGTTAGCTGTACATGCCTGCCTAGCATGGTTCATCTGACCTTGACCTCATTTTCATGGTTCATTGGTCAATGTTTAGTTTACTTGGTTAATGTTAAGTTTATGTGACAGTTGTAATAAAGTTTTATATTTAGGACTATCAATATAATATCATTGATTTGTAAAGAAGGCGAGACATTTCAGCGTGTGCACTCTTGATAATGTAGTGTCACTATTTGTTAAGCATACATGTACCTATGAGTGTTGATGCTGAAGAGTATGGCTGCTGTAGTTTGTCTCTTTGTTAAGTCTTCATATGAGTGTTAATACTGAAGAAGTTTGTCTCTTTTATAACACATTTACCTTACTGTACAGGTATACAAACCACAGGTGTAGAAATTTACCTGAGGCACAATCTTTGATGTCACTTCACAGAGAGTGCAATAATTATCATATAATTTAATTATTAGGTAAAAAATGCCATTCATTTTCAAACTGTCTTCTAAATATTTAATCTGGTGACAAGACAAATTTTTATCATAGTTATGAGGTCTATGTGAAGGGGGATTGTGATATTGTACACAAAGGCTGCATTGTTGACATACAAATACATGCATAGCAGGAAAACTATTTTAGATTTTCAGAAGACATCTATAAGAAATTTGAGGAAAAGACAACATATGAATTTTTAAATTTTTGTTTAAAAGAGTTTTCCTCTGTGTCTAATCTATCTAATGAATGAAAGATGTTGGATATTTGTAACATTAAATGAGAAAGCAATCCTATGACAGAAGAAATAAAACTCCAAAGACATCTACAGGACAGCAACCCTATGGCAGAAGAAATAAAACTCCAAAGACATCTACAGGACAGCAACCTTATGACAGAAGAAATAAAACTCCACAAAGACATCTTTGGGACAGCAACCCTATGACAGAAGAAATAAAACTCCAAAAAAGTCTATGGGCCAGCATACAGTCTTTTAATTATCATCTGCATTATTTGTCAATATAGAAATAAGAAGATGTGGTAAATTATTGCAAATGAGACAACTCTCCACCAGAAATCAAATGACATTGAAGTGAAGAACTAAGGGTCACCGTATGTTCTTCAACATTGAGTAAAACCCATACCTAGATTTGTACCTGTATCTGAATAGAAATATATACATATTATTAAAAATGACGATTTTTATCCAACGCAATCATAGGTTTGAACGTTGTTTTCAATTTAGACTTGTTTATATTAGTATTAGCCTATACATTGTGGGTCCCTCTAGAACTTGAAGTGATGTATGATTTTGCTCCATGTTGAAGTCTCCACTGAGATGATGAGATGAAGAACAGCAATAGAAGCACTGTGTATTTTCTTTTTGGTTTTGTAAAGTCAATGGATGAATTGTGTGACATTATTTATAATACACTATAACCATTCTGTACACATGAAATCTGTACAGTGCATAGTGATTCTGTTCCTAAGACACCCAATCTATACAGTGCATAATGATTTTGTTCCTAAGACACCCAATCTGAACAGTGCATAGTGATTCTGTTCCTAAGACTCCCAATCTATACAGTGTATAATGATTCTGTTCCTAAGACACCCAATCTATACAGTGCATAATGATTCTGTTCCTAAGACTCCCAGTCTATACAGTGTATAATGATTCTGTTTCTAAGACACCCAATCTATACAGTGCATAATGATTTTGTTCCTAAGACTCCCAATCTATACAGTGCATAATGATTTTGTTCCTAAGACACCCAATCTATACAGTGCATAATGATTTTGTTCCTAAGACTCCCAATCTATACAGTGTATAATGATTTTGTTCCTAAGACTCCCAATCTATGCAGTGCATAATGATTTTGTTCCTAAGACTTCCAATCTATACAGTGTATAATGATATTTTGTTCCTAAAGACAGTCAATCTATACAGTGCATAATGATTTTGTTCCTAAGACTCCCAGTCTATACAGTGTATCATGATTTTGTTCCTAAGACTCCCAATCTATACAGTGCATAATGATTTTGTTCCTAAGCCTCCCAATCTATACAGTGCATAATGATTTTGTTCCTAAGACTCCCAATCTATACAGTGTATAATGATTCTGTTCCTAAGATACCCAATCTATACAGTGTATAATGATTTTGTTCCTAAAGACACCCAATCTATACAGTGCATAATGATTTTGTTCCTAAGACTCCCAGTCTATACAGTGTATAATGATTTTGTTCCTAAGACACCCAATCTATACAGTGCATAATGATTTTGTTCCTAAGACTCCCAGTCTATACAGTGTATAATGATTTTGTTCCTAAGACACCCAATCTATACAGTGTATAATGATTCTGTTCCTAAGACACCCAATCTATACAGTGCATAATGATTTTGTTCTTAGACACCCAATCTGTACAGTGCATAGTGATTCTGTTCCTAAGACTCCCAATCTATACAGTGTATAATGATTCTGTTCCTAAGATACCCAATCTATACAGTGTATAATGATTTTGTTCCTAAAGACACCCAATCTATACAGTGCATAATGATTTTGTTCCTAAGACTCCCAGTCTATACAGTGTATAATGATTTTGTTCCTAAGACACCCAATCTATACAGTGCATAATGATTTTGTTCCTAAGACTCCCAGTCTATACAGTGTATAATGATTTTGTTCCTAAGACTCCCAATCTATACAGTGTTTAATGATTTTGTTCCTAAGACACCCAATCTATACAGTATATAATGATTAAGACCCCTAACTTCCAGATGATTGTCCTTCACATATTATGATGTAGAATGTTCTTAACATAAACCACAGATATTCCCATTTAGCCAAAAGACAAAACAGCATATTTGAGGCTGCCTTATTAACTTTTGGTTTTTAAGAATTTTAACATGAATAATTGACATTTTTGTACTGTGTTGCGGATACCAGAACAGGAAGTAGTAAAAGTCACATGTAAAAAACGTTATGCACATCAATAGAGTTTTATTCCTTTGTACAGAACTTGACCGTGATGACCCTCGTCCAGTCATACATCTAAATGTAGTTAATTATCATACCTTAAGATCACCTTTAAGATGACATGACAGATGAAAGAGAAATAGTCCATTGCATCCCGACATATCAGCTTTGATGTGTGTGTTTTTGTTTTTGATGTGTGTGTTTTTCTTTTTAATGAAACTTTCTGATCACCTTGTACTGAAGACATAGAGGACCTATTATATCATCATAAAGACACAGTTCAGCTTTTATAAATATCCACTTAACATACGAATTGACAATCAGTTCATTGTCATAAACATCTTTTCATACGTTTTTTACTAGTAATTTATCTTTGTGTATCTATATATACAATGATATATAAATGATATAGATTCAAAACATTAGAATTATACAAATTTTGTTTATATCCTTTCTTGTATGAATTGAGAGTTTTTCTATTTATTTTATATAAGACAAAAGACATGATGTCCAGAGGATTGAGTTGTATGTTATATTGTACAAAACTTGGATTCCAACCTTCATATATATGTTTGTATTTTGTGTTGTTGGGTTGCTGTCTCTACTCCTTTGCTTCATGCTAATGTGTAGTAGAAAAGAGAATACTGCATAAATGTAAATGAGATATTAATTGGACTGGCTCTTTTGAGAGGGCAGTCATATTAAAGAGTAAGGCCTCTGTTATATCTAAATATTTGGAACATTGTCTAATATAGATATTACAGAAGTCTTCCTCTTTAATATGACTCTCCTCTCCAATAGTCCTCATATGATTCTCCTCTCCAATAGTCCTCATATGAGGGTTGGAATTACCTTTTAAGGGCATTGGGATTAGGCCTTTAATTATATTTGCAGGAATTTGGGATTGAGCTTTTATTTTTGCAGGGATTCAGGATTTACACTTATCTGGACTCGGAAATTAATGATTTTTTTTTGGGATCCGGGAAAGAATGATTTATTTTTTTCAGGAATTGGGGATGACACCTCCTCCCCCTACTACCACATAGGTCTACATTAATTATCACTTACACCAGAAATTTACCTCAGCCCTGATGAGAAGTGTTATGACAGTAATTAAGAAAAACTCCTTATATAATCACCATCATGGTAATCAATCATAATGAATTCAAATATACTATCATATTTTTTCAGGCTAAAGTAGCAATAAGACGAGGCGCCACTGCTGTAGTGTTTGATGTGAGTGATGTCCCAGAGGCTTCAAAAAGGGTATGAAGACTGCAATATTGAAATACAGTTTAACATGTCTGAACAAAAAATTATTTTATAAGAAGGAAGATGTTTATGTGATAATTCATTTTTTCAATTTACTCATGTTGAATTCAGAGTTGAATTCACTAATTTTGCTTCAATTTTCATAATTGTTTTATCATTTATTTGTTTAATTCATTCATTTTGAACGGTCTTAATGAGCCATTTAGTATATAGATTATAATTATGGGATTATGGGAACATCATCATTTAAAAAAAAACCAATTGGTCATTGAGTCCTTTGCAACAGCACTGAGACTGCATATCATAAGATATCCAAACCAAACAAAATACTGGAAAAATAGTTCTCTAAGGTCTCACCATTATAGGAAAGGAACTTACCTTCAAGAAACAGACCATGAACTTCCAGGTATAATACAAATCTTTGGCTTTAAGTTAAATGGAACACGTTTACTGTTGATTCAATAATATTTGAGCTGCGTCGGATAGAAATTGACCTTATGTCAATAAATTATAATACATCTGTTAACTTATTTCGGGTTGAAAAAATTTCTATGCAAAGTATGTCACTGTTTGAAAATTTCGTTGATATAAGAATCCTACAAAACAGACCAAAATTAATCTTTTGTTTCGTATTTGCATGTTCTAAAATCAACCAAAGTCTTATTAATGTACATGTATACGTGAACTTGCATAAGGTCGATTTCTATCCAACGCAGCTCATTTGTTGGATATCAAGTTCCGTCAATTTCTTTTTGGGACCCCAAATATAAATACTGGTGGAGATATAAATTTTAAGTAACTTTGATATACTGGTATGAGCCAATGAAAATACTGGAGGAGATATAAATGTTAAATGATAGAATGAAAATGAAATAAGAAACCTTTAAAATAGCAAATTGTTTTCAACCACAAAAGTTGATAATTACAAAAATAGAATAATCCATGGTAATTAGAAAAACTGCACAGCAGAGATGCATTGTGTTAAAATTGTCCAGTGCACAATCTATTTAAATGTAATAATGAGGTGTATTTTTACCTGCAATATATATGCAAGATACCAAATGTGCATTATTGGTGCACCTGGTGGGTACTCTGCAGATTTTATACGTCTTATGATTAGATCATAAATTAATACAGCTATGGGTGGTCTTTAGAAATTTATAGTCTGAGTTTTTTCAATGTAGAATAATTATCGCAACATTCTCATTGTGGTATTATATATAAGGTTTATGTTTATGTTCATTAAAACTGTTTTCAAATACTCTAATTATAATAAAATTAAAGTTTTAAATTTGTCTGTTAAGTGAGTTGATCTCAGACGATAAATATGTTTTCTGTTAAGGTCTTATTGGTTTTATTGGTTTAAAGTACAAAGTATTTAGGCTCTCTGAATTTCTGGTCACTAAAGTGGACTGTATAAAAGTCATTCTGGAAACACAATTAATGGTCTTTGAGGGTTTTTTTTTTACATTAAATACTATATATTTCAGGAAATTTGCTCTTGTTTCTAATCTTCATTAATTGGAAAATTTACACTATGCAGATATTGGACACTATCTATTTAAAACAAAACTCACAGCACAAAGCTGTAAAATGTTGAAAATGAACACAGCAAAGATTTATATCTTTCCACTCTAAGGCTAAAACCTTGAACAAAACCTGACCCAAACATTACCCAATATCAGTACAATTAATTTGTGTTGTTATACCCCAACTCCAAAGTGGGAGGGTATATTGTTTTATATCTGTCCATCATTCTCTCCTTCCCATGAAATTCTAGTCTCATTATTCTCAGGAACTACATATCAGAGCTTCCTGAAATCTGGTATTGAAGTTTTATGTTGACCAGAAGGAACTTTTTTCATAATGAAATTGTTTTCATCCATTCTTAAAATTTAATTTAGAATACACTATATTCTTTCTTTTCAATTTCATGCAAACAGTTGATGGGTATTTAAAGTTGCAAATATATTAACTTAAAGATATATTCACAAATAAAAAAAACCACAAAAAAACTGTGACTTACACTCAAGTTCCTTAAAAAAACAAATTTTTCATGCAGTGATCATCCTTGTTTTTTTTTTAGTTGAGAAATTATGCATGGCAGCAGTTAGACAGACCTGTGATAACTATTCATGGTAACGAGGCCATACGACTAATGACAATCATACAGACACAACAAAATGCCAGGGCAAGAATACGGTCTTTACCTTCCAATGTCCCAGCCAAAAATGTAAGTATAAAGAAACATGGTCAGTTATACATATGTAATTTGTATGGGGCAGAATATGTTCTTTCAATTATTTCTTTTCTCTACAAAAAAGATAATTATTTGTGTTAGCAAGGCTTGTCCTGTCAACAACAGCAAAATAGTTGGACTGAAATACTATCTTTTTTGTTGGCTGGTGTCAACAGACAGTTAAAATTACATGGACTTGTGACCTTGTCATACTGAGTACTTGGTGCATAGGACTTGTGACATTGTCAAACTAAGTACTTGGTGCATAGGACTTGTGACCTTGTTGTACTAAATACATGGTGCATAGAACTTCTGACTTTGTCATACTATGTACTTGGTGCATAGGACTTGTGACCTTGTTGTACTAAATACATGGTGCATAGGACTTGTGACTTTGTCATACTATGTACTTGGTGCATAGGACTTGTGACCTTGTTGTACTAAATACATGGTGCATAGAACTTCTGACTTTGTCATACTATGTACTTGGTGCATAGGACTTGTGACCTTGTTGTACTAAATACTTGGTGCGGACTTGTGACCTGGTTGTATTAAAAACTTGATGCATAGGACTTGTGACCTTGTTGTACTATGGTACTTGGTGCATAGGACTTTTGACCTTGTTGTACTAAGTACTTAGTGCATAGGACTTGTGACCTTGTTGTACTAAGTACTTGATGCATAGGACATGTGACCTTGTTGTACTAAGTACTTGGTGCATAGGACTTGTGACCTAGTTGTACTAACATCCCTTACAGTTACAACAAAATGCATTTGTCAAATTGTGTCATTGATTTACAATGATATAGCAAAATTAGAAGAACCTGGCAATATAGATCAGTCAAACAGACAAAAACAAAATGATTCATCCTAAATACCAATGTAAAAAAAGAGGCAGAAGATACCTACGGGACATTCAAAACTCAGGAGTCAAAGAAAAACTGACAATGACATGTCATGGCAGAAGATACCTACGGGACATTCAAAACTCAGGAGTCAAAGAAAAACTGACAATGACATGTCATGGCAGAAGATACCTACAGGACATTCAAAACTCAGGAGTCAAAGAAAAACTGACAATGACATGTCATGGCAGAAGATACCTACGGGACATTCAAAACTCAGGAGTCAAAGAAAAACTGACAATGACATGTCATGGCAGATGATACCTACGGGACATTCAAAATTCAGGAGTCAAAGAAAAACTGACAATGACATGGCAAAAATAGAAATACGGTGAAAAGATGAACAAGTCCACAAAACACAACATAGAAAATTAAGGAAAAGGAATTTAATTCTATGATGTAGAAGTAATTGACAACTAATACATTTCCAACAAAATAGCACTGGACCTTTATATGGGTTATACACTCAATTACTAACTGTAAAATTTTACACTGCAATACAGGAGTTAATATATACAACTAATTTAGAAGTATAAATATATCTTATTTCCAGGCTATAATTTGACAAAAATAAGATAATAGATATAAGAAGATGTGGTATGAGTGCCAATGAGACAACTCTCCATCCAAGTCAAAATTTATAAAAGTAAACCATTATAGGTCACAGTACGGTCTTCATGTTAAAGTATTATTATGGAATTATCTGAATGAATCTTAGTAAAATTGATTTATAAGTTTTTTTGCTCACAATTTACTCATATTTTAATCTTAATATAATTAATATTCACTTGATATATTTCAATATACAATTCAGTATGACAAAAGTAATACTGTTTTATGGAATTTAATATATTGTCTTTCAGGAAAATGATAAAGAGTATTTAGATGTGGGAATTTTTGTTGCTGTTTTCGTTGCTTTGTGCATACTTGTTATTGTGATACTTATAAAGGTAGGTACTTGTTTTTTAAAACGTTTTCAATTTGGACAGTTTTTATAGAATTAACTAAGGGAGCTCGATGTATCCATGATGTTATATAGTAAATCAGTTGCCTTTAGCTTTTTGGTTGTTTTGATTAAAAAGGAATTTGTTAACTTCAGTTAATCCTATCATAACCAGTAAAGATCCTTTCTAAAAGTTTTGATGATTTGTTGGTTTTTCCCCAGTATATTATGTAATTTAGTTCTCCATTAATATACAATAAAATTCATGTCCTACATATTAATGTACCCAGTATACTGTCTTACATTTTACAATTGATAATTTCTGTTCTTTAAAAAGCTTATTTAAAACAGATTTTGAATTCAGTATATAATTCATTCCTGGCAAAAACAGAAAAAACATTTTTGTTGAGGTTATTATTCAGGATCCAAAGATATCTCACTAAGATTAAATTTTCTGATTTATATCTTGAATAAAATGTCTTGCGTTCCTGTCAATTGCACCGATGCAGTGATTATTAGAAAAAATATCTGTAAAGAAAAAGTAAGAAAGCATGACCTTGACCTCTGTAATTTAGTACAGTTTAGTTAAAAGCATTCCATGTAGTCATATTAAATAGGAGATTTTGAAAAGTAAGACCCTTGAAATTTCAGATGTAATTAATTATAGTGTTATATAATTTAACAAAGAGATTTATTATATTAAGTGAGATCTTTGAATTCTATCTAATGTATCAAAAGACTTTTAAAATATGAAATGGAAAATTTGAGAATGAAACGTATCATTAAGTCTTCATTCATTAACGAATATGCAATAGATTTCTTGAAGTTTTTCATATGATTTATGATTTTAAACGAAGTAGATTTTTATTTTGATTATTCAATTTTGAGATGTAGCCAAATCCCTCCCTAAAGGTTTTGCACTAAATTCTCAAGGTAAATTGGACTTCTCTGAATGAACAATAAAGCTGGTAGTTTTACTGAACATAAGGGGGAACAGTTCTTTATCAATATCAATACTCTGTGTTTATTATTTTTAAGTAAGGTTTTTATAAATTCAGTCATTTGTTGAGCAGGGTATCTATAATCCATAGAGACTACATCCTCCTCAGAGACATCCTCAACTGTCTAGTGATTTGTGATAAATTTCCTTGTTTCTAACTGACCAATGGTCAGCAGTTACATGTGTATCTCCAAACACTCCCCCCCATTGATTAATTGAGTGGCATAAAGTTATACCATTGAATATAAAACTAGATTAACCCTGCCACATATCAAGTAAGGAAGCTTATCAGTGGTTGTTTTATGTCATATCTCAAAGTCTTTAGTTTTCTACAGCATGTTATGTAGACTGTTATTTTTCTTTTGGTTTTTTTCTTTTTTGCCATGGTGTTGTCAGTTTTTCCTTTTTTGCCATGGTGTTGACAGTTTTTCCTTTTTTGCCATGGTGTTGTCAGTTTTTCCTTTTTTGCCATGGTGTTGACAGTTTTTCCTTTTTTGCCATGGTGTTGTCAGTTTTTCCTTTTTTGCCATGGTGTTGTCAGTTTTTCCTTTTTTGCCATGGTGTTGTTAGTTTTTCTTCGTCTTATGAGTTTTAGTTATGGGACTTTATAACATCTTCCTACACATTAAGAACCATCTACATTCATCAAGTGAATATGACAAACACTTAAGTATAATCCAATTTGAAATAGAAATTTTAATTTTATTTTCATAAGCAAAACATGGCATTAATGAAACTAGGCACTTTTAAGTGTTCATTTAGTGCAATATGGCAATAGTAATTTAATGATAGTATGTGTTTAAAGGAGAGAAAAAGAAATTTTATTATATTATATAATATTGGTTTTTATTAAGACCTATAAACCCTGATCAGAAAGTTACAGAAAAATAAGTTGAACAAAGTTTCTATTTAGTAATGATGCAGTATGAATTATAGATTGGAATTTAATTCTTGGTTTTTACCTGTAAGGAAAGGCTTTGATCATCCAGGTGTTGTCTCATTTATTTTATTGGATTGATGTTAAATAGTTATGTATATCATGCATGAGGGAATTTCTATTGAAACAGATTGCTTAAGTCATTTAACAAGCTTTTTGTCAAATTATCAAAATATTAAACAAAATTTTACTTTTTTTTAATGCTGTCTAAAAACTTGGTGATATTTGCAACCATTTCATGGATTTTTATGCGTTTTATGAGAAATTTGATAGAGTAAATTTAAAAATAATGGAATTGGGAGTATAAATTTGTTCATATGTTGCCATATAATCGGGGGATTATATTTTAAATAAGAGTCAGTGTGCTGTATTCTGATTTGATATCAAACAAAATGACGGTTTATTATCATCTATTTGACATCTATTTTTAAGGCTATTTTGTTGTGCTTTGATTTACAAACTTCTGTTCATTTGATAAATTACATTCTTATTTATGGAAATTTAATTTGACATGAGAAAAAAGACTTTGTTAAACTAAATGTGAAAAAGTATTACTTATATTAAATGTAAAGAATAGAATTGCCTACATTTCTTAAATAAGAATACTTCAAAAAAAGGGAAATTTTCCACAGATAAAAGAGTGTAGCTTCAGAAATGTTCTATATATAAAAAATTATAGTCTGTAAAAGAGGGGTAAAAGATACCAAAGGGACATTCAAACTCAGAAGTCGAAAATAAACTGACAACACCATGGCTTAAAAAGAAATAGACAAACAGTTGACAAACAACAGTACACCAACATAGAAAACTAAAGACTGAGCAACACGCACCCCACCAAAAAATGGGGGTGATCTCATGTGCTCCTGAAGCGTAAGCAGATCCTGCTCCACATGTGACAACTGTCATGTAACTAATAAAAAAAAAATCTATATTTGTTTATATATCCAAATCAAGAGCTGTCCTAAGTCAGGAATCTGATTACAGTAGTTGTCGTCTGTTTATGTAGTTCATACATTTATCTCGTTTCTCGTTTTTATATATATTAGACTTGGTTTTTCCGTTTGAATGGTTTTACACTAGTAATTTTTTGGGGCCCTTTATAGCTTGCTGTTCGGTGTGAGCCAATGCTCCGTGTTGAAGGCCGTACCTTGACCTATAATGGTTTACTTTTACAAATTGTAACTTGGATGGAGAGTTGTCTCATTGGCACTCATACCACATCTTCCTATATCTACTTAAACATTATTTCATTTTTTCATGCTTTTATTTCCTTATAATTGAGGTAAAATGAATTTACAAAAATTATACAATACAAGGATCGTAAAAGATTTATACAGTTATAGGCAAATATATACTTAAGTCTATATGCAATCTTTGATGATGACATATATTGTTCTATATGACAGAAAGTCCTTTTAGTCATTGTGTTACTTTTATTTAAAATTGCCCTGGTACAATATTAATTCAGGGGAATTTGACTCTATGTCTTTCACTCATATATTTTTAACTACTTTATTTAACGCAGGTTAAAACGAAATACACAAAGTTAACTAATTAGCTAATGGTCCCTAAATGGTATATCTATATAAATATTTCATTGAAGTCATCTGCCCTCTCAGGAAGTTACCAGATAAAAATATTTATAGGAAACATTCTTGCGGACTGTTAAACTCAGTATCATCATTCATCTTGATACGTCAAAAATATCAGACAATTTTGCCATAGTTATGTGACAACACAATGGTTATGATGTAACCTTATATATCAGATGAAGGTCTCCATGGAAATCATGATATTGAAGTATCTAGTTATCCTGTGAGACTGTTTTTTATATATATATATCGGTTTAAAAATTATATGCAATAAGAAGTGAGTCCAATGTTATCTTTTGAAATATGTGAATTCATAAAAAAGTTCTGTTTTTATTAATGCAAACATGATACTGACAACGTTATATGTGAAAAGATATGAAGATAATCAAGGGGACAATACTTAAGAATTGAATGCTTCTTTCAGAGAAGGTCCGGTAAGGGCTAATTTTGGCCTAAAATTCGAAGTACATCTGATGACTAATTATTGACATTTTTATCGAGCCTTCGACTTTTGACGAAAAAAAGAGACATAGCGATCCTACATTCCGTCGGCGTCGGCGGCGTTGGCGGCGTCAACAAATATTCACTCTGTGGTTAAAGTTTTTCAAATTTTAATAACTTTCTTAAACTATCCTGGATTTCTACCAAACTTGGACAGAAGCTTGTTTATGATCATAAGTTAGTATCCAGAAGTAAATTTAAAAAAAAAATTCCTGTTTTTCCGTATTTTACTTATAAATGGACTTAGTTTTTCTGCCAGGAAACATTACATTCACTCTGTGGTTAAAGTTTTTAAAATTTTAATAACTTTCTCAAACTATCCTGGATTTCTACCAAACTTGGACAGAAGCTTGTTTATGATCATAAGATAGTATCCAGAGGTAAATTTAAAAAAAAAAAAATCCTGTTTTTCTGTATTTTACTTATAAATGGACTTAGTTTTTCTGCCAGGAAACATTACATTCACTCTGTGGTTAAAGTTTTTTAAATTTTTATAACTTTCTTAAACTATCCTGGATTTGTACCAAACATGGACAGAAGTTTGTAAATTATGATCAAAAGCTAGTATCTAGAAGGAAATTTTTATTAAAATTTTGTACATGTTTATCCATATTTTACTTATAAATGGACTTAGTTTTTCTTCCAGTTAATATTACATACAGTCTGCAGTTAAATTTTTTATAACTTTTATTAGATTCATAAACTATCCTGGATTTTTACCAAACTTGGACAGAAGCTTCTTACAATAAAAAAATTGTATCGAAAGGAATATTTTTATTTAATTTTTTCCTCATCTCATTTTTGTTGAGCCTCTGATTAACAGCAAAAGTAGGCGAGACACTGGGTTCCGTGGAACCCTTACGAATTTTTTAAACACTTAAGTGTCTACTTCAGTCGATTCAATTAGTTTAAGTAAAACATTTGAACTGATTTGGTCATTTAAGACGCTCAAATTCAAGCTTAAATATGAAAAATCTATCAAATATGCCAGAAAACGTCCCTTTTCAGATGTTTTTTGTCTAAAATGTAAATGGCCGCATTCGTGTTCAGTCTCAACCTTTGTATAAGTTATGTATTATCATCAAATACAACATATATTTAAATATTAATACTGAACACAAGTGTGGCCACTTCCATTTTAGACAAAGACCGTCTTAAAATTAGCACAAATGCTAAAATTGTGAAGATTTCAGTAATTTTGCATGAATTAATGATGCTAGAACCTGATGCATGTGCATTGTATTCTCAAGACAGCCAATATTTATGTAACAAAAGTATTCTACTTTCCAATAAATAGCTAAAAGTTTACATTTTTAACAAATTTGTAATTTGTAATGCTATATTTTGGGCCAAATAGGGATCGTACCGTGCCTACTTCTTTATTGGGGTGTAAAAGCGTTGACCGCAATACATTCTGTATGAAGTGCGGAAGCGCTTCATTCTGAAAATGTGCGCACGGTCAACGCTTTTACAACCCTATAAAATTACCAAAAGAAGCATTCAATACTTATAATTACATTTTTTGCTAGGATTATGAAAACATGATTTCTATCGAGATTTTCTTTTATTTACCTGTGCACTTTATTGTGGGAGCTCATGTCATCATGAATGTTACATTTCATTTTGAAATGGAGGATAATTTCAGAATGATGCGAGATTGCTGTTAGCCAATCAAAATAACGTATTATAATGAAACATACATGTAATGTAATTATAAATATGTAAGTTCTAGAAGTATAAAATTGATTCTAGAATTGTAATATTAAAGAGTTATTTCCCTTGTTTAGTGCAATTTAAAGGTCATTAAATAATTATTTTGTATGGTTAACTTTTAGTTTTTTCCCTAAAATCTTGTTTAAGCTGAAAAAGTTCTTTGTCTATTTACATTGTGCTGTTTAGATTGAATGATATGCCTCTCTCACCTGTATAAGTTGTCAATTAGAAATAAGAGAATATTTCTTGCTGAAATTTGCTATGTGAGAGTATTATCAACATTCACTTTATTTATATCTCTATCTGAATTAATTTAGGTAAAACTAAAAACTGATCGTCTCATGTCTTTCTTGCATGCTTTAGATATATTAAAAGTCTCCCACATTGCACGACACATTTTTGTTTTGTATTCTCTAGGTATAATACAAGTTTCTTCACATGTAATGTAAAATGATTTACACAACAAATTCTCATTCATTTTACTGGTGAAGCATTTGATCAAAGTACAGTTTCATTGACATGTATCATGCATAAAACATATTAAATGCATGTTTGGCAAGTCTTTATGTCATTGTTATATTACAAAAGGCATAAAACCTTAGTAATTTCAGATTGCTATCTACTAATGTTGCATAAAGGTCACATGACCTTCAATATAAATTCCATTTTAGAGAAATAAACCATATTTGATAGTATAAGCAATTGAATAAAAATATTTGTTGATGTTGTAATGTTTCAATCCTTTTCCTCAAGAAAAAAAATCAAGTCATAAATATTTGTTATTTTTATATATCTTCAAAAGAGGCATGACCAATTTCCTCAGAAATACTTTTAACTCACAGGTTAGCTGTCTACAATAAGAAAATTGATGAAAACTAGTGAATTTGAATAATAAAGAGTCTGAAAGAGACTAAAAAGATTTTTCAACCTTGTAAAATTCAAATGTTATTTAGTACTGCACAATGTTGGCAACATTTATAAAATAAATGATATTGCAATTTTTGTTTTTGTTGAATTTTGCATCAATAAACAGTTTCATATGAATCAAAGAGACAATGCATACCTACACTTTCAATAGAATGATAGTTATGATAATCATATTTGGCCAAATCTATCAAAAAAAAGGAGATGTGAACCATCTTTGAGCATTTATAACTTGATGACAGAGTTTGTCTTCAATAATGTGACATGGTGTTGTTACTGAGAGCCTCAAAGTACACATCTGTGGCTCCTTAAATACTATGAATTTTATTGAAAATTAAAAGATTTTTTTTAAATGGCCCTGTTTTGATATAATTAATCTGGAATAATTTACCCTAATATATTCAGGTCTTTAACTCATCTATTTTTGATTAGTTTAACACTGGTGTGTATGAAATACAAGCTTAAGCAATTAACTGATGTTTTTTACTTTGATATATATCTAGAAATGAATATCTGTCCCAGGATTAAGGGGAGGGTTGGACATGTTTAACCCCGCCACATTCTGTATGTATGTGCCTGTCCCAAGTCAGGAACCTGTAATTCAGTGGTTGTCGTTTCTTTCTGTGTATCATTATTTCGTTCATTATTTTGTACATGAATTAGGCCGTTGGTTTTCCCGTTTAAAATTGTTTTACATATGTCATTTCAGGGCCTTTTATAGTTGACTTTGCGATATAGGTTTTGCTCATTGTTGAAGGCCGTACAGTGACCTATAGTTGTTAATTTCTGTGTCATTTGGTCTCTTGTGAAGAGTTGTCTCATTGGCAATTATCCCACATCTTCTTATTTTTATATTTCACAAAAGTCTTCTACCCTCTAAGGAAGTAACCAGTTTAAAAAAAAGCATTTGCTGGCAGACTTATATTTAAAACTGCAAAAATTTGTGTTGATTTTAAAATTCTGTTTTTTCATTAACACGAGTAATGTCCCTTTTTTCTGTTTCAGTTTAAATGCAGGCACAGAGAGCAGCAGGTGTGTATTAAGACTATTATAGTACAAGTTTTTAAAAAATGAAACTAAAAAATTTCTGAAATAACCTTCAAAGATTTTGAACAGTTGAATTTACATGTATAAGTCTTTGTAAAAAAAAAATTGTAGGAATTAAAAGATAATAAGAATTATTTAATGTCAGAAACAAATTACAAAGTTAAAATTTCCTGTTCCACCAGTGACACCTTGTGTGATACTCTGTTAAAAACAATTTATTGAAACATCAATCATTGATGGTAGTTAGATAGTTATTTTACTTAAGATCACAACATACATTACGATCAGAGCTTGTAATGTCTCTAACTGTAAAACTTGAACGAATTTGAAAATGGAGGTATAAGTCTATGCACACTATAAAAAATATGCTAATTGCAGCTTGTAAATTGTGTAACCTTGCATTACACAACTGTATTTGAACAATTATGTTACAATAAAGATTTTTTTATGCATTTCAGCTGTCTATGTCTGAGCTGGCAAAACAGGCAATAGCAAAACTGGAAACCAGAAAGTACCAGTGTAAAAAAGAAAAAAGTTTGACAAGACTTACCTCCCCTACCTCAGATGTTTATAGTCAGACTTCCTCAAATGGTGATAGTTGTGCAATATGTTTAGAAGAATATAGAGAGGGACAGGTACAATTTTAATTACTCAGGAGAATATATATCCATTACACATTTACAAACCAGGAACGTTCTGTTGTACATTGACGTATCAGAACATATCTATTGTACATTAACACACCGGGAGAGTTCTATTGACATATCAAAAGACAGAACATATCTATTGTACATTGACAAATTAGAAAAGTCCTGTTGTACATTGACATTTAAGAACATATCTATAGTACATAGACACACTAGAAAAGTTCTATTGTACATTGACATATCAGAACATATCTATTTAACATTGACACACCAGGAAAGATCTATTGTACATTGACACACTAGAAAAGTCCTGTTGTACATTGACATATCAGATCATATCTATTGTACATATACACACTAAAAAAGTCCTGTTGTACATTGACATATCAGAACATATCTATTGTACATTGATACACTATTAAAGTTCTATTGTACATTGACACACCAGTAAGTCCTGTTGTACATTGACATTTCAGAACATGTCTATTTTACATTGACACACCAGAAAGGTCCTGTTGTACATTGACATTTCAGAACATATCTATTGTATATTGACACACCAGAAAGGTCCTGTTGTACATTGACACACCAGAAAAAATCATGCAGTTGTATAAGCATTTGCAAGTCTCATTTCCATGGAGATTATATGGCCCAGTCCTATCATCATGGTTCATTGAAGTAAAAAGTGTGTGTTTAAGTTAGTTTAATTGAGGGAACCACTTATGATAAGTCAATGGTTTTTGGTATGCAGTTTTTTAAGCATTGGCATCTCTTATTTCCATGGAGGTTATTTGGCCCTGCATCATTAGTCATGGTTCATTGACTTTGAATGTTTGCATAGTTTACATGTTTAAATATTGCCATTTTAATTTCAACATTTGCATTATACTATTAAAATTACAAAAAATCAAGACACATCTCTGTGTCAACAGTTTATTTCTATTATTTCAGGCTTATATGTATGACCTGTTCCATAATTTCAGCAGTTTATGTGTTTTTATCTATTATTTCAGGTTTTACGTGTATTGCCATGTTCCCATGAGTTCCACAGTTTATGTGCGTTTATCTATTATTTCAGGTTTTACGTGTACTGCCATGTTCCCATGAGTTCCACAGTATATGTGTTTTGGTCTATTATTTCAGGTTTTGCGTGTATTGCCATGTTCCCATGAGTTCCACAGTATATGTGTAGATCCTTGGTTGGTTAATCATAGAACATGTCCATTTTGTATGTACAATATTATAGGTAAGTAACCAGTATTGAAGGTCAGTAACCAACATTGAAGGTCACAGATATTTGTTGCTGAATAGGACACTTCAGATTTGATGGAAATGCCGATTCATTGCCAAGTCTTAAACATTAATAAGCATAAAAATAGGAAATGTGGTTTCATTGCCAATGACACAACTATCAATAAAGACTAATGGAAAAGTATGAATAATTACAGGTCACTGTTCAACCTTTAATAATGAACAAAATCAAGACACTATATCTGATTTGTACTAGATAATTCAGTTGAGCGTTCAATGACGTCATTTACACCTATTGACCTTGGGGAAACTCATTCATAAAATGTATACATTATGTGGGACTATGATTGGAACAGCCAAAACAAATCATGACATTGCCGATCAGCTGACATACAATAAATACGTATTTTACCACAAGTGTGTACTCAAAGCAATTGTAGAACGTCATAAAAGAACAAGGAATTGATCGCAACCTTCAATTAATTTCATTGTACATGTTGAATATGACCTTGTACGTGTTGAATATGACCTTCGTTGTACATGTTGAATATGACCTTGTACATGTTGAATATGACCTTGTACATGTTGAATATGACCTTCATTGTCCATATTGATATGACCTTTATTGTACATGTACATGTTGAATATGACCTTCACTGTACATGTGGAATATGACCTTTATTGTACATTTTGAATATGATCTTCATTGTGAATGTTGAATATGGCCTTCATTGTAAATATAAAATATGAGAAATTGACCTTCATTTTACATGTTTTTTTATTTTCAGAACAACCTGAATCCCACCAGTCTTCAAGTACTCAGCAAACTGAAAGTAGAAGTTCAGACCAAAGACAATATTATCAACTACCTCCTCCAACAAACAATATTTATCATCAGATTACACATTCTCAATACTTACATTATTTAAATTATCGTTCAGAGCTTCACAATGCATGTACATCCTGCGAGGGAACAGTTGGATCCTCTGTTTCCTCGTGCAATTCTTACTGTCATGAATATCACCAAAATGCTCATCGAAATTTTTCACGAGAACCTTATCATCACAGTTATCATCAGGCATTGCAATCATGTTGTGCTAAAAATAGAACTAAAGAAGTTGGTCGTGTTTTTCCGTGGAATTCTTCACTCGTCAACTCAGGGATATCATATTCACATCATGTCACTGCATCATCAGTTCACCATCATACAAATTATTGTGGGACACACAGACAGATTCATAATTCTACTCACCATTATTATCTAGGGCAAAGTACACGATTATTCCAATACAAAATGAAAAACAATGTGGGACGAACATGTGATAGTGAACCAGAATATAATTCTGGAAAAGACACAAGTATCAAGGCTCATTATGGAAGTTGCAGTAGTGACAGTTGTTCAGACAGAAATCCGAGCAACAGTAGTTTAGAATGTCCAGAATGTGTTCAGCAGTGTGATATTGTTGTCGATAGCAACCATAGTACTTATGGTAGTAGTGGTAACCATGACAGCAGTGATAATACAAGTTATGATTCTAATGTGTTCTGGGGTGGGGGAGCCCCAGATCAAATGTGTACAGACCTCAGTTCTGAGAAAACATCCATTTCAGAGGCATCATGTCTGGACAACGTGCGCAGGTATTCAGATTTTAATAATTTTGGAGAAATTGGCAGCTGTAAAAACTGTGATATTAAAAATAGTGTTTCAACTTTAAACCTCAGTGAACTCAGTGGTTGTGACACAGCTGATAGTTTAGATTCAATGTCCGGTAAATTGGATAGTTGTCCATCTGTAGATCAGTTATTAAATTTGAGTGAGATTTCTGGTCTCACCGAGGATAGTGAGACATCGTCTAGTCATAAAACTTGTTGTTCTTGTAAACTTGAAAATTCTGAAACTGAATTGTGTAATGATATTCCTATGGAAAGTAATACACTACCTAGGAAGGATAAATGTAGAATGGTTCACCATGTTCAAAACACTTTAAATACCTTTCCCAAAGATAGACGAAAGAGTCTGACAAATTGTGTTGATTGTAGAAGTCGGTTGTTCATTAATCGCCAAAAGACTGGCCCAAACATGTCCAGACTTGGGTTGAATACGAATAAGTGTAGAAATCTATCCCACTCTTCAGCATGCAATAATGGGTTGACAAATCAGGAAATGGAAACACAACGATTACATTGTAATCTTCCACACTCTTCAGCATGCAATAATAGATTGACAAATCAGGACATGGAAACACAACAATTACATTGTAATACTCAGGGAGAATTGTATCCCAGCAATAACACACTCAACATTGCTGCAAGTACATTGACCAAAGAAAAATCAGCTTTTGGAAATTCTAATGGGGACTTACTTCACAATTTTCGTTTGAGTAGGTCATGTGATATTTTACCGATAATCAGGATTAATGCAGATCGTCATTGTGACAGAGTTATTTATAGACAACCAAAGCCTCTAACCAAAGACTCTATAGTCACAGCTACCTCTCAAGGTAAAATTTATGAATTACTAATTGTTAAGCTGTACAACTCAGTATCTCAGGAATATAATGTTAACCTTATTTGTCCTTGTGCTAAATCATCATTCCAAAATTGTGGCATTGGTCTAAATCAATAAGCCAATGAGACAACAATCTACAAATCCAAAAGATGTTGATGTAAGCAACCATAGGTCACTGCATGTACGGCCTTCAACAATAAGCAAATGCTTTAAAAGACCCCGACATGACAAAATGTAGAACAATTCAAACCAAAAAAAGCAAAGGGCCTGATTTATGCTAAAACAATAAACAAAAAGACAATTATCATGATTATGAAAGACAACCACCGAATTACTCCTGACTTTGGACAGGCACATTAAAAATGTTACAACTATCAGTCACTGCAATTTTACTATATGACATATAGATGTATAGCATTTATAGCAATCCAACAAATAGAAATTTTTTATAAGGATTTTCTTATGGTGATATGCTTACTGCAACTGTCAAACATTGCAGAGTATAAATTATTTCTGGTTATTTCTTCTAAAATTGATGTATTGACATCATTAGTGTTATTTCCTGTAAAGTTATGGTTCAAACAATTTATGATTACATTGCTCCAATATTATTAAGTGGCTGTAAATTCATTTGTAATGTGTATGACAAATTGTAATAATATTTAATATGCAAATGTGCTGTAATTTAACTGTCTCAGAGAAATGGAAGCTGAAGTTGATTTTGAATACTTGTTGTCATCTGTAGACAGAAAATCATGTAAATTAAATTTGGCTTGTCAACGTAGGAGTCTTTCCTTGTATATTAACCTTGTATGTAAATTTATATTAAAACAAACCTTCAAATTATATTTAAATGATGAACTATTCATAAAGGCAGTTGGGGGTCCAGCAATTGAACCTGCAATCCAGGATAACTAATACAAAGTTTGGAAATTATAAGTCCATGTGGTGAACCAACCCTATTGTGTTTACTTTGGATAGTTTCTCCTGAAGTCAATGGAAGTGGATACCTTGGTATGCAGGGTTGTCAATAAAGTAATGCAAACTTTTGCAAAACTGAAAATACCTATATATGACAACAACACTTCAAAGAGTCTGTAATTTTATTAAACTTGGTTGACATGTTTCGCCTGCCAGGGTGACTCATACAAAGTTTTTAAATGTTTAACTGAAATGAGCAAAATATGAATATTGTAATTACTGTAAATTAAGAAATTATTGCATACATTTATTATTGCTATTTCTGAAGAATAGACAAAAATGCAAAATTAATTATTGCTATTTCAGGAAAATCTACACATGCTACATACAGATATAATATGTATCAGGTATCAGTATGCGAGTTCTTATTATTGCGATTCCCACCAAATCAAATTAATTGCAATAATAAAAACCTGGCAATAATTTCTGAATTGACAGTAATCAATTTACATGAAAATTGTTTATTGATATGAAGTCCATGTAATTCCCCTGAAGATTCTACTCATACAGAGAAATATTTTCTGTCTTTTTTAAGTTCACCAATTGAATTATTTTAGGAAAGAGTCATTATGTAAAAAAATAATTTCTTTCTATTTTAGGTTCATCCGTTACTGTACTCATGAAAGACAAGACAAAACATGCCAGTGGAAATGCTGTATGAAGACATTGTTATACAGAAGTGGTGTACCAGAGTCTTTCACTACCATGACTACAGTTCATTGTTGTCATAGTTATAATAGTCATGTTTTTCTGTTATTTTTTTTAAGATCAGTTTTTAGTTGTATAAAATCATTTTTAAAATTTTGATAATATTGTTTTTTGATCTATGACAATGTTTTTAAAAATTACTCAAAAATATTCAGTGAAAAGTAACACAGAAACTGGAATAAATGTCCATTCCTAATCTCATGTTTCTTGTGAGTAGGTCAAAAGAATTTTTAATGGCCCAAAAAATATGATAAGCATCTTTTTTTTTTGAATAGGTCAATAGATTTTTATGGCCCAATAAACTTTTAGACACTTAATCTAACAATATTTAACAGAAAAGGAATATGGTAATTGACATGATACATACTACTTCTTAAATACTGTATAAGTGTAATGATTTTCATTAAAGATTTGGTCGGCACTGGTTTCTCTTAAGTTCTTACTATTGACGATAATGTTCAATTTATTTTCTTAACGTTCTTTTCTCAAACTTTTCCCTATTAGTTGGAAAGATTATTAAAAAAACTGTCAGCGTGTGAATTGACCATCACCATGTGTTTAGGACAAATCTTTATTAGAATCACCATATTCAATGAAAACTTCTACTACCTCAGTCACAACTAAAATGCACAAACTTTTTCAATCTTTTTTCCAGCCACACAATTTTAACGTAAAAATATATCCTTTATGGAAATTATATTAATTAATATGAAAGTAATCATATTGTACCTAATAGACATTTCCAAATATTTCAATACAAATACCTCTTGACCTGTAAACTACAATCATTTAAATAAGCATGATACTTTGGTAATAGTATCTTTAGCCTTTGCGGGAATGTGAATTTTACTACAGAACTTGATTTTTTGAAAATTTTGCAATTACATGTTCCATAGTGCTGTTGGGTATGAAAAAATATAACCTGAAATATTGTGAGTACTGCCAATGTGAACATATCAGTCAAAGTATAACATCTTCTATGTTCACATTTCATTGTCAAATTTTATAAAGGCATTTCTGATGGGCATTCATCAATAACATTTTAATTGATATTAAGTATGGATTTTCAGCTTATTTGATTTTAATAGATATGTATTCGCCCATGTCAACAAAAATGTATCGCCTTTTTGTCAATAAAACTAAATGTTATGTTTATAAGTTATTAATAATTTATTTTTGTTAATTTTTTTTTAACATTCACTGGAATTCATTCTAAGACTGAAGAATAGAATTTTTAAAAGTATAATGGCACCAGATTATTCCACTGTTAAAGTCAAAGTAAAAAATTCTGATTTCACATTTTTACAATTTGTGTCCTATACAAATGTGATCAAAAATAGAAACAAAAAGACATGATCATTGGACATCTTTGAGAAATTTGTAGGGCCCGAAACATTTCAGAGCCAATTAAAAGCTTAGTACACGGTATCGGTTTTAATCATTAATGAAGGTCTATAAGTATATGTCAACGTTCCTTTTCCTTCGTTCTAAGATGGGTTCTTGTCTCATAGGCAATCATACCCTATCTCCTTTTTTTTACATTACGGTAGGCATAAGTGTAATATCTAAAAAAAAAATTATGGAAGGTTGAGTTTTAATAAAAAATTATGTTTTTATTCAGCATAGCTTTTTACTAAAAACTAAATGTCCTTTAGAATTCAAAAGCATCAAGTCAAAATTACTCTCAACCATTCAATAGTTTTAATTATATAGCCATTTTTTTTCTGTTCAATCATTTAAGGTATGTTTTTCATCCTATTTTTGTGAATTTTGTGTGATAGAATAACAATGCATTATCTACAATCAAGGGCCAGTATATGTTAGGTATTCAGTAAAAGGTGGAGGTATGATAAGAGATTATTTAGCCCCTGAAATTGCAAAAATAGTAAAATTCTTTTTAACCAGCTTTAACTTTATTATAAAAGACATCTTTTTTCACATAATGCCTATTAGAGTAGAAATTAAGATTATACACATATTTGAATATTAAAGACATCTCAAAATGATGTTATTCTGTTCGGAATTATAATAATTTTTTATTTTTGAATCCATGGCTCTAAAAGTGACCTCGTCATACCTTAACCTTTTTCCATTTTTTATCAACCATGTATTTGAACATTTGTAAACATTTTCCGCCAATTTAACTTCAATCATGAATGTTTTGTATCATGTCTTTGTGTAAAAACAATACATCAGAGTTTGTCACCTACACATTTCCATGTAAAGTTACTTAAATTTCAAGTTTTTTAAAAACTATAATTGTGAGAGATTTCAAAAAAGGATACCCCCTGCCCACAAATTGGGTTGACTCAGCTACAACCTGTTTAACCAGGAAATATTCTTTGATGCAAATCCTAAGGTTGTGTTCCCACAAATTACCCCCCCTTTAATATGTTATTTATTATATAATATATTCCTATATGCACATATTTTGGTGTTGTCCTACAAGTGTTTTAAAGTTTTCACAATATTCATCCAGCCTTTTAAGAGGATTTGCACATACAAGGCAAATGGGCAGACAGACAGGATGATTTCTATATACTGACTGTTTCAACAAGTTGTCAAATCCTTTAAGATAATTAAATTGAGAAGAAGCTTTTACTCATGAATAAATAATTACTGTTGATTCATTATTATTCCTTGGAAACCAATTTTCGTGGATTTCTGATATATAGGTAAACCACAAATTTAAATGTTTAACAAGGTACAAAATTTCTGCTGGTATATGCAGGTTTTGGCAAAACCACAAAATTAGATATGACGAAAATGCATTTTCCCATCAATCTACGAAAAAATAAATTGATCCATAGTATTTTATTGAAGACTGTCAAGTTTTTTTATGGTCATTTCTTAATAGAGTGTCATTGTTTTGTTAATGGCTCTTAACAAGATAGCTGAATTTAAAACTTACAATTCTAGACCAACAAGAGAATTATCATTTTATTTACCTTAGTTCCCCAATATAGATTGCCTGGTCAAAGGGAAATAACTTTACTTCTCTTCCCCAATTACCTATGCTACTTTATGCTGTTGTGCAAACAAATTTTTATTGTTTTGGGCTTTTAGTGTATTTTAAGAAATTTCATGTCTAAGTTTATTTCATATAATTATGATTTTGACAGTAAATGCATTTACAGTTGTCGTAGATTGAATTTGTTATTTTTTTTTTTTCATTTTATGAAAAGTTTAAATCATCTATTATTAGATTAAAAGTCCAATAGTAACAGTCTAAATTTGCCTTAACTAAAACACATCTATGTTAAGAGCTAAAAGCACAATTTAATAGTGTTGCTTTTTAAAAGCTGACGCTATGAGTAAGTCACATTTTGGGTTATTTCCATGATTTTGAAATGTTTTTAAGTGAGATATGCTTATCACATTTATGATGGAAGTTCTGAAGTGTTGGTTTTATAATATTGTTAAAGTGCTATTGACTTATTACTACTAATATGAGGTCAGAGGTGTCAACCTTAATATATATATGGGAGTCTAAAATCCAGACATCAGAAAGGGGGGGGGGGGGTGAAAATAACACATCCCCACTATTTAAAATTCCAACTTCTCCATCTTTCAATTGTAACATTGATACATTTTTTACATACTTCATAATTAAGAACACCTTGTTAAAACTAATTAATTTCTTAAAATTGGATTAAATTGGTAGGTAATAATTGGTGTTTTCATGTAGAAATAGTACAATACCTGAAAGTAGGAATATAACTTTAAAAAGATAAAATAGTAAAAGCTCTCCCCAGAACGGAATCTCCTATTTTATAGGTTGACACCAGGGGCAATTATTTGTAAGAATGTTTTGTACTGACAAGGGTCGGTACTATTTATTTGTTGTTATTATATATAGACCAATTTCTGTTTACATTCTGTTGTTTATTATTGTTTCACTCTGTTTCAACTTAGTGAAATATCAGATATTAAAAGATTAAACTTTCTTGAGCTTTGTTTTATCTTTTGGTGTGTGATTGATTGATTGATTGATTGTAGGTTGCTTAACATCCAGTGCCAGTCGATTTTGATTCGTGAGAATGATTTTTAAAGAACTCCAAAGGACAATTAATCAGCTGACTGGAACTTTTATATTTTGACTGAGATGAAAAGATTTTGGAGCACAATTTTTCAAAATAGAAGGAACCAAGCGGCTGATGTAGGATAAAAGAGAGGTCGAAAATACCAAAGTGATGTTCAAACTCATTAAAGATGACAAACTAACAATGCCAAATAAAAAAACCCTGAAGAAACGACAAAGTATACAAAAACAACATATACATCTGAAGTCAGAAATACGAACCAAAAAAACTGGGGTGATCTGGAAGGGTTTCGTAGTGTAGTATTACTCATGAAAGTACAAAACTGGCGATAAGTGTAATTTGATAAGTCACAATAAATAAAAAGTGCTGGTAGGTCATATTAAAGGAAAAGAGGACATACCCATCTGTGATATTCCATGAGGATTAAAGGTGAGCAGTTCCTTAAGCAGTTCCTTGTCCTCTGTGACTACGTTTATAATGATAATGACAATTAAATATGTACTAAACATAGTAAAAACATCAGTGAAGGAAAAGAGAATCGAACTGTTGTAAGGGTAAGTGGGGTATATCAGTGTTTATCTTAGACATATATACCAGAACTGTCAACCAAATCGTGATGCCATCTGTAAACTTATTAAAAGAACCATTGCTTCAATACGTTCCTTGTTGCCAACAAACTTATCGATGGAATAATTATAGAAAATACAAACACTACAATATTTATTAACTTTATATCATGTATATGGAGGTTCTGTTGGGATTTTGCTATGTAAAAGTAAAAAGTTAAGGACGAGACACTTATTTGATTTGTTATGTTCAGCTCTCAACTGACAATTGCTGTGAAGTATTTTTTATGTGAGCCAAGACTGATAATACTAAACATTAAAACTTTATAGTAGTCTCAGGCCAATATAACAGTAAAAAGACGAGGCATTACCTAAAGGAGTTAGTAAAAGGGAGGCAGAAGGTATTTAAGTGATTTTCAAACTTTAAAAGTCGAATATAAAATGACAACGCGATAGCAAAAATCGAAAAAACTACCACAAGACTAACTAACTTACGAAACACAACATATTTTAACTGTAAATAAAGAGCACACAACGTCAATGTGCATACACGTGACCTGTCATTTGATATACAAAAACAACATTTGACAATCACAGGGTATTCTATTTATGTGATATAG